CAAAAGACCATCACAGACTAAAAGTGAAGGGCTGGAAAAAAAATTTTCCAAGCAAATGGACAAAAAAAAAAAAAAAAGCCGGGGTAGCAATTCTCATATCAGACAAAATAGACTTCCAAAAAAGGGCCATTAAGAGAGATCCAGAAGGTCACTTCATAATACTCAAGGGAAGAATCCACCAAGAAGACATGAACATCGTAAATATATATGCACCCAACATAGGAGCACCCAAATATATAAAATCTTAGAGGACTTCAAAAAAGATATTGACAGCAACATAATTATAGTAGGGGATTTGAACACCCCACTATCAAAAATGGACAGATCTTCCAAACAAAATATCAACAAAGATATTGCGTCATTAAACAACACCCTAGATGAAATAGACTTACTGATATATACAGAGCTCTTCATCCGAAAGAAGCTAAATACACATTCTTTTCAAATGCACATGGAACATTCTCAAAGATAGACCACATGATAGAACACAAAAGGAGCCTCACCAAATTCAAGAATATTAAAATCATACCAAGCATTTTCTCTGACCACAAGGGACTGAAATTGGAAACCAACCCCAAAGGAAAAAACACAAAACACCCAAAATCATGGAGACTGAATGGTATGTTATTAAACAACGAATGGGTCAAGAATGAAATTAGGAAAGAAATCAAAAAGTTTCTGGAAACAAAATGATCTCACAACAACCCAAAACTTATGGGATACAGTCAAGGCAGTCCTGAGAGGGAAGTTTATAGCAATACAGGCCTACCTAAAAAAGACAGAAACATTTTAAACAAACAACCTTACTCTACGCCTGCAAGAACTCGAGGAACAACAACAAAGCCCAGAGCAAGCAGAAGGAAGGAAGTAACCAAGATCAGAGCAGAACTAAATGACATAGAGACTAAAAGCACAATTCTAAGGATCAATGAATCCAGGAGTTGGTTCTTTGAAAAGATAAACAAAAATAGACAAGCCTTTAAGTAGGTTCATCAAGAAGAGAGCAGATATAAATAAACACAATCAGAAATGAGAGAGGAGAGATTACAACTGATACCACAGAAATAGAAAGGGTTGTAAGCAATTATTATGAAGAACTGTATGCCAAGAAATTTGAAAACCTAGGGGAAATGGGCACATTTCTAGAAAAATATAATCTCCCAAAACTCAATGAAAAAGAAGCAGAAAACCTGAATAGACCAATAACAGCAAAAGAAATTGAAGCAGTAATCAAAAAACTCCAGTCACACAAAAGCCCTGGACCAGATGGTTTCACAGGAGAATTCTACAAAGCATTTAAGGAAGAGCTAACCCCTATTCTTCACAGACTATTCCAAAAAATCCAGAAGGATGGAAAACTCCCAAACTCCTTTTATGAAGCAAGCATCATCCTGATTCCAAAACCAGATAGAGACACAACAAAGAAAGAGAACTTCAGATCAATATCACTGATGAACATAGACACTAAAATTCTCAACAAAATATTGGCAAACTGCATCCAACAGTACATGACAAAGATCATACACTATGACCAAGTGGGATTCATCCCAGAGATGTAAGGATGGTTCAACATTCGCAAATCAGTAAATGTAATACACCACATAAACAAAAGCAAAGACAAAAATCACATGATCATATCAATAGATGCAGAAAAAGTTTTTGATAAGGTACAACACCCATTTATGATAAAAAACACTCGGCAAAGTGGGAATGGAGGGAGTATTCCTCAATGTAATAAAGGCCATATATGAGAGACCTACAGCCAACATCATACTCAATGGGCAAAAACTAAAAGCTTTTCCACTAAGATCAGGAACAAGACAAGGATGTCCACTTTCACCACTTCTATTCAATATAGTATTGGAAGTTTTAGCCACAGCTGTCAGACAAGAAAAGGAAATAAAAGGCATCCAAATTGGAAAGGAGGAATCAGAACTGTCATTGTTTGCAGATGACATGATAGTGTATATGGAAAATTCTATAGGTTCTACCCCAAAACTGCTTGAACTAATAAATGAATTTGGTAAAACAGCAGGATACAAAGTCAATATCCAGAAATCAAAGGCATTTTTATATACTAACAATAAATCAGCAGAAGCAGAAATCAAGAAAAAAAATACCATTTGATATAGCAAAAAGAAAAATAAAATATCTGGGAATAAACCCAACCAAGGAGGTAAAAGACCTGTATGCAGAAAACTACGCAACACTGAAGAAAGAAATCAAGGAAGACACAAACAAATGGAAACATACACCGTGTTCATGGATTGGAAGAATTAACATCAAAATGTCCATACTACCCAAAAAAATTTACAGATTCAATGCGATACCTATTAAAGTACCAATGGCATATTTCACAGATATGGAACAAACACTTCAAAAATTTATATGGAACCATAAACTAGCTTGAACAGCAGCTGCTACTTTGAGAAAGAAAAATAAAGTAGGAGGAATCACAATACCTGATATCAAATTGTATTATAAGGCCACTGTAATCAAAACAGCCTGGTACTGGCATGAAAACAGGCACATAGACCAATGGAACAGAACAGAGAGCCCAGAAATCAACCCAACTCTCTACAGTCAATTAATATTCGACAAAGGGGACAGTAACATAAAATGGACTAAAAATAGCCTCTTCAACAAATGGTGTTGGGAGAACTGGACAGCTACATGCAAAAAAACAAAACTTGAGCACTGACTTACACCATACACCAAAATAAATTCAAGGTGGATAAAAGACTTAAATATAAGCTGTCACACCATTAAAATCCTAGAGGAGAACATTGGCAAGAAAATCTCAGATATTTCACACAGCAACCTTTTTACTGATATGTCCCCTAGAGCAAGGGACATAAAGGAAAGAATAAACAAATGGGATCTCATCAAAATAAAAAGCATCTGCATGGCTAAAGAAAACAGTATTAAAATAAAAAGACAACCAACTGTGTGGGAAAACATAATTGCCAATGATACCTCAGACAAAGGTTTAATCTCCAAAATATACAAGGAACTTACACAACTCCACTCCAAGAAGACAAATAACCCAATTAAAAAATGGGAAAAGGACTTGAACAGACACTTCTCCAAGGAGGACATACAGAGGATCCAGAGACACATGAAAAGATGCTCAATATCACTAGCTATCAGAGAGATGCAAATTAAAACCACAATGAGATACCACTTTACACCAGTCAGGATGGCTATCATAAATAAAGCAACAAACAACAAATGTTGGAGAGGTTGTGGGGAAAAGGGGTCCCTAGTTCACTGTTGGTGGGATTGCAGACTGGTACAACCATTATGGAAAACAGTAAGGAATTTTCTAGGAAAACTAAAAATGGACGTGCTTTATGACCCAGCAATTCCATTGCTGGGACTATATCCTAAGAACCCTAAAATAGCAATCCAAAAGAACCTGTGCACCCCAATGTTCATAGCAGCACAATTTACAATAGCCAAGAGCTGGAAGCAACATAGGTGCCCATCAGTAAATGAGTGGGTCAAAAAGTTATGGTACATATACACAATGGAATTCTATGCTGCAGAAAGAAAGAAGGAGCTCCTACCCTTTGCAACAGCTTGGATGGAACTGGAAAGCATTATGCTGAGTGAAATAAGCCAGGCAGTAAAAGACAAATACCATATGATCTCACCATTAACAGGAAGCTAAACAACAAAACAAGCAAGCAAAATAAGAACAACCACACTGAAATCTAGAACAGGGGGACAGGGATTGGAGGGGCGCAGGGAGGGAATGTTAGGGAAAAAAGTGGAAGGATTTACAGGAACTAGCATAAAGGACACATGGACAACTAAGGGGTGTGGAAAGGGGAGGGAAGTGGGGGGCACGGGGGGGGTGGCTGGGAAGGGAGTAAAAGAATAGTTGAAAAATAATTTAACAAATAAATTAACTTAAATTTTAAAAAAAGATGTGCTCAATGTCACTAATCATCAGAGAAATGCAAATTCAAACCACAATGAGATGTCATCTCACACCCATCAGAATGGCCATCATCAATAAATCAACAAACACCAAGTGCTGGCAAGGATGTGGAGAAAGGGGAACCTTTTTACACTATTGGTGGGAATGCAGATTGGTGTAACTATGGAAAGAACTATATAGATATCTCAGAAAACTAAAATCTGCCTTTCAACCCAGCAATCCCACTTTTGGAATATACATCTGAAAGCACCCAAAACACTAATTCGAAGGAACAGAAGCACCCCTATGTTCATCGTGGTGTTATTTACAATCACTAAGACATGGAAGCAGCCTTCATGTCCATCAGTAGATGAGTCCATAAAACTATGGGACATTCACACAATGGAATACTACTCAGCTGTAAAAAGAAAATTTCACTCATTCTGACAGTATGGATGGACCTGGAGAACATTATGCTAAGTGAAATAAGCTAGTTAAGAAAGACAAATACCGTATGGTTCCATTTGTATATGGAATCTAATAAACACACTGAACAAACGAGTGAAATAGAGACAGGCTCATAGATGGAGAGCAGGCTGACAACTCTGGGGGGATGTTAGCGGGTGGAGGGATTAGGCAAAAAGGAAAAGGACTCATGGGCATGGACAACAAGGTGGTGATTGCTGGGGGGATGGGGGCATAAGGGAACTAGATGGTAATGGAAAAAATACAATAAAAATTTGTAAATATAATAAACTTTTTATTTAAGTGGCCAGGTATTTCAGGAATATTACTGTTTTTAACTTCTTTAATGACCATTTATATTTGGGTTCTTTGTCCTGCTTAGACAAGCTGAGCTTGAATATTTGACTGGAAAGTCCTCAAATAGAAGATGTTGATGGAATTTCTTTTACAATATAATTTTATTATGTAATGAAATGCCTTAAAATAAACAAAAATATTGTTTTACCTACTTTTCATTTATGTGATTTTGTCTGAAATGTTTTTCTCTTTTGTGGTTTCTCAGGTAGTAATTTTTTTTTAATGTTTCAATTGTCATGTATTTTTGATACAGATAAATACAGAGGAACATGTGGATGCAACCGATCAGGAAGTTATCTTATGGGATCATAAAATTCCTGAGGACATCTTGAAGGAAATAGCCACTTCTAAAGAGGTACCAGCAGAAAGTGTTACTGTCTGGATCGACCCACTGGATGCTACACAGGAGTATACAGGTAATTTTAAAATTAAAATTGATCTTAAGCTTTAGATTACCATTACATAGCAAAGAACTAGAATGAGGGCAGGTGATATATAATGGTGGTAGGTATTTTACCAATCTCAGACAACTTACCCATTAGGTTTTAAGACAGAGAGCTGTAGTAATGCAGTGTTGTATGAAACATTTACACTGTATTCTCAGTGTATCCCCCCCGCAATGTATTTATGCCATATTTGTAATGGTGATAGTGGCTCATTATGTTACTGATTCTTCCGTGAAAGAAAGTTTTAGCAGTTACCACAAAATGGTCTCTATTTGACACCTATTTATTGAGGTGTTTATATATCAAGGTATGTTTTATTGAGGTATTTATTTGTATAGTCAGAATATAATATCCATTATAGTGGGAATTTTTATTTTAGTGCATATACATCTATCGTTGGAATTCAAAATAGTAAACCCTAGTCACCCAGAGAACATGTAATTAGCAAAACAGAGAATTACCACCCCACCCTTTATTATCTTTTTTACCTAGTCTCAGTTCAGATTTCAATTCCATGGATCCTCTCCATGCCTTGTTTCTTACCCAGACATATCTAATTCTTGCCTTTTCTCTGTTTTCTAGATATATATATTGAAATAGGTTGCTTGTATATTTGTCTCCCTTCTAAACGATAAGTTCTCTGAATGAAGGACTTCTGCTTTGTCATCTTGGTATTCTAGTGCTTAAGCCCTGAACTTGAGCCTTAATAGACGCTCAAGGAAACTAATTGGAGAACAGGGAGAAGACACTAGGTTGTCTATCTAGTAGTAACTGAAATTATACGACAATATATTGCTGGAGTAGATAATAGAAATAGAGAATATTGAGGGGTTTGTTTATAAAAAGTTTTTTCTAAACTGAGCTTGGCCTGATCATATAATAGTGATAATATTTAGTGAGTTAATCCCTTGTGCAGAGACTATTATAAGTACTTCATTTTTTAAAATTTAACAGTAAAAGTAAAAATTATTTTAATATTTAAAAGTGGATACCTAATTAGTGTCTGTACTCTACAGATGAAGAAACTGAATGTAAATAATTTGCCCAAAGAAATGCAGCTAGGATTTAATGTAGACGAGGATAATAACCCAGGTACTTTGCTTATAAAACCGAAACTCAGCTGCTTCCTTAAAACTGATTCTCATTGCTAGACTGTGTTCACTTAAGGGGATTGTTGGCTATGAAAGACATTTTATAAAATATGTGTACAATTTTAACAAAATAAAGTATAACATTGTGTCCTGAATTTACATATGTTACTTTTACAGTTATGTTTGTTGTTTATTTCTCATAGAGGATCTTCGAAAGTATGTCACTACTATGGTTTGTGTGGCTGTAAATGGTAAACCTGTGCTAGGAGTAATACATAAGCCATTTTCTGAATATACAGGTAAGAAATATGTTAGAGCAAAAGTTACTGTTATTAAATCTTTTGTCTATAAAACTGCCCTGTCAGAATAATTACTGTAGGTCAGTAACTATCAGAGTTATTCCCTCACCCTGCCTCACCTCTTCACTGGACGTAGTGAGGATTTTATTCTTGGCACTCAGACTACCTGACAGCAGAGCTTTCCAGACTACCTTTAGGGGATAGCAGCTATTGAGTGAAGATGAGAAATTCTTAGTATATGGAGGAACACCGCTGGTATGTACTCCCCAGCAGCTCTCTGGTCTGTCACATTGTTGCTCGGGATGATGTCCAGGGCTCTTACACATTGGATTCTGTGTGGATTTTGGGGTCCACCGTGAGCTGGCCTTAGCAAAGTCTGCTGTTATGTTAGGAAATGAGCTTGATCTTGTGGTGGTTAAGGGTATGTTAAGGTCATTAAGAGCAACGACAACCTCAGATTAAAAGTGGGTAGTGCCATTGTGAAAGTATCAAAAATCAGGCTGACCCTTTGTAGCCCTGGATGCTCCTCAGCACTCCTGCAGACCCTTGCTTCTTCACCGTCCAACAAATGCAGTCTTATTTGTTAGCCTCCTGTACATGGCAGCTCAGATCCTTAATGATTGTGTAGGCGTGAGAGTATGGACGAGTATGCCAAAGAGCTTCCCATTTAGTTTAGGAGTGGCCTTGCCTAGAGCCTCATCCCAGTGCATTTTGGTGTCACTGCAGCTGTTATGCTGTAGTTTGCCTTTCTAGAGAGGTTAGTTATGATCATGTGGGTAGCAGTGATAGCATGGACTATGGTCACAAGTCCACAGTGATACCAGGAGTTGTCTGTCATAGTGGAGAAGTTGAGGGAAATAATTATTGGTGTAAGCAATACTACTGACAGCCTGAAGGGAATTATTATACTTTTTGTTGGTAACTCCCTAACTCTTCAAAACTGTGGGGCAAGGATCATGATCTTTTGGCTCCACTATTCTCCAAGATGGTAAGGTTCTTGATGGTGACACTATCCTCTTTGCCAGTATTATAAGTAGCCCTAATAATCAGGTGTAGTAGGTTAAATAATGTCCCCATCAAATTCATGTCTACTCTGTATTATTAGTTTCCTGGAACTGACACACAAAAAAAACAAAAGCAAGAAACAAACAAACAAAACACAAATTGTGTGTCTTTAAACAAATTTGTCTTTTCCAGTGTTGGAGGCTAGAAGTCCAAAATCAAAAAGTTGGCAGAGCCATGCTTTCTGAAACCTGTAAGGGAAAAATCTTTCCATGTTTTTCTTTTAGCTTCTGATAGTTTGCTGACAGTCAATCCATGGTGTTCCTTGGTTTGTAAAAACATCATCTCTGCCTCTGTCATGGCATTCTCCCAGTGCCTATGTGACTCTGTCTCTTCTCTCCTTGTAAAGACACCAGTCATGTTGGATTAAGAACCTTGCCTACTGCAGCCTGACCTCATCTTAACTAATTACATTTGCAAGGACCTTGTTTCCAAATAAGGTCAGTTTCTGAAGTGCTGGAGGTTAGGACTTCCAACATACCTTTTGAGGGAGCAAAATTCAGCCCATAACAATGTGGACTTTAGAATGTGAAATAAGATCTTTGCGGATGTAATTAAGGTAAATATCAAGATGAGATCATCCTGGAATAAGGTCAGCCCTTAAACCAATGAAAGTATCCCTGTAAGAAAGAGGCTACACAGACACACAGGGAATAAATGGCATGAAGGTAGAGAAAGAGATTGGAGTGATGCAAATAAGCCAGTGAACACCAGGAGTGCTGGCAGCCACCAAAAGCTAGAAGAGAAGCTGTAAATGGATTCTCCCTTAGACCAGTCAAGGAACAAACCCTGCCAACATCTTGATTTGTGACCTCTGTCCTCAGTCAAAACTGTAAGAAAGTAAATTTTTTCCTACTGTAAGCACCAAGTTTGTGGTAATTTGTAACAGCAGCTCTAGGAAGCCAATACACAGGCATCCTTACAATTGATGCTGTCATTTACTCCAGCATCTTTTTTGTGTCTCAGTGGTGTGGCTGACATGGATTAAAAAGACTGTGAAGTAAAGAGAAACAGAGACAAGGCTAAGTTTTGATTACTCTAAATTTATTTGTTGTGCAGAATAACCTTGGATCCCTAATTCTGTTTGTTCTGAGACTAAATATGTGACCATTGGCTCTGCATTTCAAAACCACATCGTCTTTTTGGTATCTGGCATTTTATCTCATTTTTATAATTCAAATAGTTTTTAATGTTCATAATTTGATGAGCACAAAAGTTTTATGTTATTAGTGTGATAATGTGCCTCAAGATTAATTATATAATTGCTCTAACAGCCTGTACATAAGCAGATCAGGGCTACCATGACAGCTTCCTGGTACCAGGCACACTGACCATTCTCTCTTTTGCTTTTGCTGTGCTAACAGTTGTTGCACTCCTCTGCATGACTAGGGGTGGCTCACTGCTTCACATTCCGCCAGTGGAGAGGGTAAAAGGGAGACTTACAGGACATTTTACACTGAGGGTTTGATCTGTAAGTTTCACACATCAGTTCACATCACATTGATCAAAACATAGCTTCTGGGAGGCTGAGAAATGTATTTGTTATTTCATTGGCCATCCAAGCTAAAATTCAGGGATTTTGTCACTCAAGGAAAATAGTAAAAGTGGTTATTTGGAGGATAATTTAGCAGTACTATTATACCCAGTATAGTTCATTTGTGAGGGACGCAACTGCAATTACTATTCCCACTTAGAGATAAGAAAATGAGACTCAGAACATTTTTCTATTTCTTAAAATTATCCATCTAAATTAGAAGAGAAATCAACCCAGGAATATTAGACAAATCAGTGTAGCACATTACTTTTATGATAATAAACCATGATTCCTAACTTTTGTATAGTACTGGTTTGGCCAAAAAGTTTGTTTGTTTTTTTTTCTATAAAGTAAAAGACACATTTCTAATTTTTACCAGTAACTTTACTGTTTGGATATTTTGAGTGCATTGGCTGTCTCCTGCATGGTATAACGTTGATTGTTCTCAATTAATGTCTCGAATTGATCGCTACCAACTTCAACTGGTCTACCTAACCATGGAGCATCATCCAGCGAGAAATGTCCACCATGGTACTTCATAAACCACTTTTGACACATCCAGTCAGTCAGTACAGCACCTTCTCCAAATACTGCACACATTTTTTGTTGCCATCCAGTTGCGTTTTTATCTTCCTTGAAATAATAAAGCATTGCGTGCCAAAAATGTTGTGTATCTTGTTTCACCTTCAATATTAAAATGTCTGTACAAAAATTCACCAATTTTGATGTTATTTTTAAATTCATGCTGATATGACAGCTGTCTCAATACAGTCTAATAAAGTTGTTTTGACAACTAAGTTGTCAAAAGACAACTAAGGACTACTGGAGCCATCTTATGGAAAAAAATGAACTTTTTGGACAACCCAATATTTAGCAATTTGCTGTATATTTAATGTTATCTCATTTGAATCTATTTTTCTTTTTTTAATTCTTTCATGGTTTTATTTATTAATTTTGCTTTTACATTTTTTACTTATTTTTAATTACAGTTGATATACAATATTATTAGTTTCATATTATTAGTATACCCCAATGATGAGACAATGTGTAATTTATTAAGTGATCATCCTGATAAAACTTGTACCCATCTCACACTATACATAGTTGTTACAATATAATGACTATTCCCTATGCTGTACTTTATGTTCTAATGACTATTCTGTAACAGCCAATTTGTACTTCTTAATCCTGTCACCTTTTTTACCCATCCCCAATCTCCCTGCTATCTGGCAACTATCAAAATGTTCTTTTTATTTATGAGTCTGTTTCTGTTCTGTTTAGTTGTTTATATTTTGTTTTTTAGATTCAATTGTTGATAGATATGTATTTATTGCCACTTTATGCATATTTTTAATCATTTTCTTCTTAAAGAAGACCCTTTAACATTTCAAGTAATACTGGTTTGGTGAAAATGAGCTCATGTAACTTTTCTTGTCTGGGAAGCTCTTTACGTGTCCTTCAATTCTAAATGATAACTTTACTGAGTAAAGGAAACTTGGTTGTAGATCCTTGCTTTTCATGACCTTGAATATTCCTTGCCAGTCCCTTCTGGCCTGCAGAAGTTTCTGTTGAGTAATCAGCTGACAGTCTTATGGGAGCTCCCTTGTAAGCAACTCACTGCTTTTCTCTTGCTGCTTTTAGATTCTTAGTCTTTCACCTTTTGCATTTTAATCACGATTTGTCTTGGTAGGGTCTTCTTTGGGTTCAACTTATTTAAGATCAGAGATTCTCTGTGCTTCTTAGACTTGTATGTATTTTCTTCACTAGGTTAGGGAAGTTTTCTGCCATTTTTTTCAAATAGGTTTTTAATTTTTTGTATTATTTTATTGGTACCCCCCATTATGTGACCATAGTGTGCTTGAAGTTGGCCCAGAGGCTCCTTACACTATGCTTAATTTTTTTTTGATTCTTCTTCTTTTTGCTGTTCTGTGGCTGATAGCCTTTGCGTCCCTGTTCGGGCGCCAGGTGTGGCTGATATCCTTTGTGTCCTTGTTTGGGCACCATATGTGGCGGACCCTGGCCAGCAGAGTCCGCCTGTTGTGTCTTATGGCGAGAATGAGTGCACAGCTGACAACAATCCTGTGGAGAAAAAGGGAACAGGCACAACTACTCTCTCAAGGGGAGAGTGCCTATGGTGCCTCGGCCACTCCCTCAAGAGGGGAGCACCCCGACCCTTGCCTAGACAGGCTTTTATTATTTTCCTGGGGTCTTGCATCATAGAAAGATTTATTATCTATCACATAGAATATTATCGTCTACATTCTAGGTACAATCAAGGAAATAAAAATAACATGCAAACGGGGATGGCGATGAGCTGATTAGCTCTGTCCTTGGGAGAGCTCACACAGGCTTTGGAAGTTACCTTAAGGATAATCAATATACATTTGTTGCTTTAGACCAGGGT